GATCCGTGTCCCCAGGTGCCACATCCACACAGAGCTGTTAAATCCTCCAGAGGTGGGGACTCCAGGGATGTGCCAGGGATTGACAACCCTTTCAGTGAAGAAATTTTCCCTCATATCCTAATTTTCCCTCCCTGGTCATGGTTGTGGAGTTTGGATGTGGAGGGCTGAGGAATTTCAGGCTGGATGCCTACACTGCTGGCTCTGGCCTTGGCAGGGAATCAGGGGGTGAAATTCCTTATCCATTTAGAGGAAAACAAAACCTCGGGATAAAAATTAATCCACAGCTCTCCCCTTGCTGCTCTTACAGCCTTGTTCAATTTTCCTTTGTGTGAAACACCTCAGGAGTTGTTGAGTTCCAAAAGCACCGTTGCCAGATGCTGGGAAAAGAGAAAAACAAGCCAATATATGGGAGCAGCTGGAAAACTTCCTAAATAAGTCAGGAACGTGCTGGAGTGAGCAGAGCTCCTTCTTTCCCTCTCTCGTCCTGCTCAAATGAAATCAAATAAGTCCTGGCTCAGTGGTTCCTGTTGCTGTTTCTTTCTTAACATTCCCCAAAGGATCCTTTTTCCATGAAAACCTCGAAGTGGGTAAACTGCTGGGGAATGTGGGAGCATCCGAGCATCCTTTGCCGTGTCTTTCTTCCAGCACAGATGTAACCTGGGAGCAGAGGTATTTTTATATGAAAGCATTTTTTATTAATTCCCCACCTTGCTCTCTTCTCCAGTGTCTCCCCTGGGTCCATAGTGCTGGCTGTCTCCATGGTATCCGAGCTGCTTCCCTATAAATCCATATCCCGGCAAGGAATGAACTTCCCGGGGTCTGGCATTTATCACCTCTTTAACTGAATGGGCGTTTATGCGGATGGGAAGAGGGAAGGGAAGCACAAAGCTCCTGGAGTGATGGAATGCGCCCCACAACTCTCCGCTCGGGATGATCCCTGCTCCTGAGCAGGGGCCAGGATGGAGTCTCCATCCTTGCAGAGGTGTTGGCCGTGAATGTAGTGTTATGGCCACCAGTTCAGAGGTGGTGGCCATCAGTGTAGAGGTGATGACCATCAGTGTAGAGGTGTTTGCCATCAATGTAGAGGTGTTGACCACCAATGTAGAGACAATGTCCATCAATGTAGAGGTGATGACCATGAATGTGGAGGTGATGGTCACCAGGATAGAGGTGGTGGCCCTCAAGGTATAGGTGGTGGCCATCAAGGTAGAGACCACCAGTGGTTGGCCACCAGTTCAGAGGTGGTGGCCATCAGTGTAGAGGTGATGACCATGAATGTAGAGGTGATGGTCACCAGGATAGAGGTGGTGGCCCCCAGTGTAGAGATGTTGGCCACCAGTGTGGAGACAATGACCATCAGTATAGAGATGGTGGCCGTCAATGTAAAGTTGGTGGCCATCAGTGTAGCCTTGATGACCATCAATGTAAAGGTGATTGCCACCAGTGTAGAGGTGGTGGCCATCCAGATAGAGGTGTTGGCCACTCAAGGTATAGGTGGTGGCCATCAAGGTAGAGACCACCAGTGGTTGGCCACCAGTGTAGAGACAATGTCCACCAGTGTAGAGGTGTTGGCCATCAATGTAGAAGTGATGACCATGAATGTGGAGGTCATGGTCACCAGGATAGAGGTGGTGGCCACCAGTGTAGAGATGTTGGCCACCAGTGTGGAGACAATGACCATCAGTAGAGAGATGGTAGCCATCAATGTAAAAGTGGTGGCCATCAGTGTAGCCTTGATGACCATCAATGTAAAGGTGATTGCCACCAGTGTAGAGGTGGTGGCCATCCAGATAGAGGTGTTGGCCACCAGTGTGGGAGTAATGGCCATCAACGTAGAGGCAACGACCACCAATGCAGAGGTGTTGGCCACCAGTGCAGAGAATGCACCATCAATATTGCAGAGAGGGGTAAAAAACCCCAAAGGATGGAAGATGGATGAGGCTGTTTTCCCGTGGAACAGCAAAAACACCCAGAGGCAGCGCTCCAGCTCTTCCTCCCTCGTCCCAAATTGTTCCTCTGTGAGCCGCCTTGGCTTTGCTCCCGCTGCTGATGTCTCCAGCCCACGTTGGGAATGCAGAGTGTTTATAAAGCAATTTGGGATTTGGCTTGCTTGGCTGAACACTTCAAAAACTCATTTTGAATTGAGAGTGGCATCTGCAGCAGGATGGGGCTGGGCCTGTCCTGCTGCCGGGAAAGGCACCGGAATGTGGATGTGGATGTACCATGGGATGAGGTGCTCTCCTGAGGACTTCCAGAAGGATCTCTGCATCTCTGTCCCAGCCACCCCCCAGCTCTGGATGGTGTTTGGTCACCTTGTGGCACCGGGCGCGTGTCATCAACCCGCTCTGCTGCCAGGTGGGATGGAGAAGTTTGGGAGAAGAAGACAAGAATTCCTCATGAATTTTCACTTCAGCACTGAATAACCCGGGATCCATCTGAAGATGCAAATTATCTGCCTTGTTTTTGGCATCGAGCGTAGGCATTTTGTGGCCTCGTCATCCACAGCCGTGTCCCTCAAAGCCACGCTCAGCAGGGACCTCTCCAAGTGGAAAAGCAGAAGACTCCGAGCGTGCCCCGGGCGCTGCTCTTTGTCCTGCCCGAATGGGGAGCGATTGAGGAACGAGGAGAAGCGGAATTGTGGAGCTGTGCCATGAAAAGGTTCTGCAGGTGGTGTCTGAATGGGCTCAGGTGCTGCATAAAAGGTATCAACGGGGCTTTATCTCCACGTTGGCAGCTCCTTATCCAGCAAGAAAAGTTGGATGTGCCGGTGCGGCAGGCGCTTGGTGAATTCATTCGGAGCGTTATTCATCCAGGGGAGGGGAGAAGCACCTGGGCTGCCTTGATGGCTCTGCCAGGGTCTGAGGAGCAGAGGTGACAGGGACATGTCCTGGTGCCACCACCCCAGGTCTGGCTGTTCTCCTGCAGCAGCTCCATCCGCTGGGAAGTGTTTGGAAATCCTGTAAATGAAGTGGAAAGATGGAAATCTCACCAGCAAAGAGCTGCAAGTTCCGCTCTTGGGGTTATCTCAGCAGTTCAGATAGGCAGGAATGTGAGGATTTTCCCCTAAACAATCCTTTCCCAGGAAAACAGCTGATCTTAACTTGCTTTAGGGCTGGAACCCAGCCTAATTCACTCATTGCATTTCCAGTGCCGATTTGTGACCAATTCAGATCACAGGCAACTGGCTGTAAAAAGGTTTTCTCTGGGAGAAAATGCATTTTCCAGGGGTTGGGAAGGACTGGGGGAACTCCTGTATGTGTGCAGGCAGGTCATGGAGGTGGCAAAAGGCTGTTGTGTGGCAGAGCTTAAAGTTTGGTGGGTTTATATGGCAGATTAGTGTAGGAAAACACAGGTGGTGGAAGGACAATTCATGTCCGTCATCATTCTGCACACTTTGATTCATTCCGGTTACAGAAACCCGAGGATTTTATCACTGATTTCCAAGTGCTCGGATCCTAATCTCCAGCAAATTCTTATTTGACTGCAGTCCAAGTGTTGCAGGAGAAGGGAAGATGGTTCAGAGGGAGTGCAGCTGCCTCAGGCTAAATCCAGCTGGGATGCTCAGGGAGCTGCTGGGACACCTGAGCAAGGAAAACCATCCCTGGGGAGGCACTCGCTGCCCTAAATCCCCACTGCAGCTCCCTTGTGCTCAGCAGGACAATTCCTAATGCTCCCAGTGGGGAAATGTTTGGAAGGGTGCTGTTGTCTTTCCAAAACCCGTGGGATGTGGGGATTATCCCATTCCTGTTTCACTGCTTGTCCTGAAAATTCTGCTCTCTGCCCACGGAGTGATGTGGAGCTTCTGGTTTAGGAGCAGGAGGATCCTTTGTATCCATGAGATTCTGGAGTTTGGGGTTCTTCTGGGTTTCGTGGACTCACGGAATGGTTTGGGTGGGAAGGACCTTAAAGCTCATCCCATTGCACCCTCTGCCATGGCAGGGACACCTTCATTATCCCAGGCTGCTCCAAGCTCCATCCAAGGTGTCCCTGCCCATGGCAGAGTGCTGGAATTATATGGTCCCTCAAGTCCCTTCCAGCCCAAACCATTCAGTGATTCTCTTTTATGATTCTGTGATTATTTCCACCCAAAAAGGACAAAACCTCTCCCAGGGGTTGAATCCAAACCAGTGCATGCTGGAATTCCCAGGGCAGGACGAACTGGGTGAGGGGAAAACAGCAGAATGAAACCCCAGAACTTTTAATTTGTTAACCAGAACAGAATCAAATCAACATCTGCAGCCACCAAACCTCTTTAACAGGCTGTGTGTTGGGTGTTTTATTTCCCAGGCACAGGTATGCAGTCTCATCTTTCCAAAGTTGCCTGGAATGAGCGTGGGCGGATAGAGAAAAGCAAAAAAAAAAGCTCTTTTTTGTGGGCGGGAGTCGAGGCAGCAGCCGCCCACGTCCTCCATTATGATATTCAAATGTCAATATATTTTTAATTGGTTTATATCCATTCCCCCCCCCCCCCCCCCCCCCCCCGGCTTCCCCCTCCATTCTTTGGTAATTAAGGCTCTGTAAATAGATTTTACTGTAATGGGTACGAGAAGGAAAATTGGAGGACATTGTACAGTGCATGGGGTTGGGCTGGGGGATTTTTTTCCCTCCCTGTCTTTCCTCTTTTGACTCATTTTACATCTGTGAGCTTTGGATCCCGAGGGGGGAGGAGGAGAAGGGAGCCACGGCCAGTTCTGCACAAAAACCCGGAGATGGGAGGACCAGGTGGTTTGCTCCAGGCTGGGACACAGGGAAAGGCCAGGGCCAGCCCAGGTTGTCCCTTGTGCCACCACGGTGGTGCCACCAGGACACGCCAGGAGCACTGAGAGCTCCCTCCCAGTGCCAAACTGGGAGAGCCCCCAGTTCCCTGCAGAATCCTCAACCCGCCTCGAGCCAGGAGGCCAAAATCTGCCCAAAATCCTGTGATTATTTATTAATTTATGATTTGGGCTGTTTCTCCAGGAGGGTTTGTAACTTCTCTTTCCCTTTTCCTATCCTTCCAGCCTGTGTAAAGGACGGACTCTCTACTCCGTGGTGAGGGACGCCAAAATTGTCCTGGATGTCAACAAGACGAGGCAGATAGCACAAGAAATTGTGAAGGTATGGTCTGGTGGGGTCTGGATCCTGCAAAAAACCCGGCCAAGAGCCCAGTCCAGTCATTCTTGGGGGGGAGGAGAGGAGCAGTCACAGATTCTGAGCAGGACAGAACTCCTTGGTTTTAAAATCCAGTGATTCTGAGCAGGGTAGCTCTGCTTGGCTTTAAAACCCAAGGATTCTGGGCGGGTTAGAACTCCTTGGTTTTAAAATCCAGTCTTTGACCTCTCTCATGTGGCTGAATTGGGGTGGCACCAAGGCTTCCATTGGTTCCCCATGCTTGGGGCTCATCCTGGCCACTGCTCCTCTTCCCTGCTGGAATTTCAGGTGTTTAAATCCAGCATTGCTGCTGTGGGGGAGTTCCTGGTGAGGTATTCCTCTTCTCTTGGGAAAAAAAATGTAATAATCATGGAATGGTTTGTGTTGGAAGGGAGCTTAAAACTCATCCCATTCCTCCCCTTACCATGGGCAGGGTCCTGAGCCCTCACAGCTTCCCATGGGATGTCAGCAGCAGCACTGAGGTGTTGATCTGTCTGCCAGAACGGGGCTGTGCTGTGATTCCAAACAGATTTATCACCAGAAATATTTGGCACATGCTCTGCCATGGGAGCTGTGACAGTGCCCCCCTGTCCTGCCCAAGGTCAGCCAACACTTCCCCCCTGGAGCCCAAACCTGGAGCTGATCCCACGTTTAACTGTGGGAAAACAACAGAAAATCAGGTTTTCTGGCAGACCTTAGCTCCCCTTAAATATTCAAACCCAGGTTAAGAGCAGAATGTGTTCAGCAATATTTCCTGATATATTTTTTCCCTGTACCTTTTCCCTGGATGGTCTTTATTAAATTGCCTATTTTGTGTTTATTTAGACCCAGTTTTAACTTTAAAGTTTAAATTCCTTCAATCCTCCTGGGCTCTCCAGGCAGGAGCTGACAGGTGAGCACAGCCTGAACCTTCAGCTACCTCGGGGCCATGGCCTGAGCCGGGGGTGCCTGAGGCAGCCCAGAGCCTCTTCCTTCCTAATTCCTACTTCTGATCCATGTTTTCCACCTTTTAGACACAGATTTTTCCTGCTGAGCAAACATTTGAAGCATCACAGTCTAGCCTTGTATTTTCCCCCCTTTTTGTGCTCAGGGCTTTTGCCTTCCAGATGTTCCCAGTGGGATAACAGCTCCGTTCAGCCCCTTTCCCTGCGTGGGTTCCCTGCTCCACGTGGGTTTCAAGGATGAGGCTGAGACATCCTTGTTTTCTGCAGCTGGTGCCTGTTAGGAACAGGTTGGAAACCTCCAGCTCCGTGGCTGAGAGGCAGAGGGGCTTTGTATCCACCCCAGATCCCTGGAGGAATTAGCAGAGCTCCAAAGGCTCTGCCTGTGCACCAAAGGGAATTCCTGGAGAAGTCCAGCCCTGCCACAATGCCATGACCCAACCACATAGCCCACTCCTCCTGAGGAGCAGCTCCCCAGCTTTCCCATCCTCCCCCCAGATCTTTCCAAGTCCCCCAGATGTTTTGGGAGACTTGGAAGTGGCGGGTGTTGAGAAGGAAAATCCCAACACCTTGGCTGGGGTGGGCTTGAAGGGAGCTGCATTGTCCGGAGGCTTTGGATTTGCTGCAGAGTCACAGCAGTTGTTTGATTTTATCCTTTGAGTCCTGGAATGTGATGGGAGAGCGGCTCAGCTCCTTGGATTAGTGGGTGCAAGATTATCCCGAGATCCTCGGGAGGGGGAGGATGATTTGTCCCGGGAGGGGGAGGAGGATTTGTCCCGGGAGTGGTGCCGGCAGAGGGAGCTGGCTTTTCACACAGCCGAGCAAATGAAGGCATTCCTGGGCCCAGAGTGTTTCCTCAGGGATCATCCCGGGGGCTGAGGTGGCAGGGCTGGAATTTGCAGTGGGATCTGCATGGAGCAAAGTGAGGGATTGGGGTTTGCCTGGAGAAATTCCTTCAGCAAAGGCCGGGCTGTGCTGATGATTCCCTGGAGATGAGCTCCCTGCTGGGTGTGGGAGCAGGGTCCTGATGCTGCTCTGGGATCCCATCACCCTCAAACAATGGGAAGGGGCTGCAGAGCATTCCCGTGGCTCTGGGGCTCATCCATGGATGCTCAGGGCCCTGCACTGTGCCTGGCCAGGGAAACACTGGAGTGCTGCTCCTTGCTCCACCCCGGCGCTTTCTGGAGGTGACAGTGACATTTGAAAGCTGATTTTTAAACCTCATCATTATTTCATGTGCTGGGAACTGGAGACCCCTAATTAATCCCGGTGCCTGGAATGGTCCTGGCATCCAGCCCCAAATCCTTGCCTTCCTCCAGCATCCCTTGGCAGAAGCTCTGTAGGATTTTCTCCCCACGGGATGCAGTGAAACTCCCATTTCTTGCTGGGTTGGGGTGTTTTTCTGTTTGTTTTCCCACTTTTTCCAGATGGTGGAATTTGGATTGGGCTTCTGGCTCCACATCAGGCACCAGCTTAAAAAGAAATTCTTCTCACACAGCCTGCGTGGTTAATGATGATAGATGAAAAGATGAGACTATGGATGGATGGATCCCCTTGGAATTCCAGTTAAATCCCCCTTTTCCAGTGCCAGACAACCAATATTTCCTCTTAAGCAACAGTTTGCCGGCCTGTTGGGCATTGATCCTTCGGCAGCATCCTGCAGATCAAGTTTTCCCCGAGTCTGCTTAGGAGAGTGAAAAGTGGGACAGCATGAAAATCCCTGCTGAAGTTGGGATAAATGTGTTTTATCCCCCTCCCCATTCCCAGAATTATCCCGCGGAGCTGAACATCCGCCACGCCGAGCTGCCGGCAGTCTGCTTGATTTGCCGAGGCTAAACAGGAGAGTTTGGATTTCCCACCCATGGCCTTTTTGTGCCTCATTAGCAGTAATTTTAATTAACCAGCGAGCAGTTTTTCCTGGGGGGAAGGAATTAAGGCAGGACTCCTGCGAGGAGCCCGTTTCCAGGCGGATGGGGCCGTCGGAAGCGCCGATGGCTCCGCCAGGGCTGTGGGGAGCGGTGACTTATTACCCTCCTCTGCCAGCCCCCAAAAAAACGGAGGAGAAAACATCATCACCATCCATTTCCCAGCGGAGGGTTCCAGGGAAGCGGCTGCCGGGTGGATTTGCCGCTCATTTTTCCCCTGAAATCAATTAATCAGGAAGATGAGTGGGCGCTGTGGCAGCTGGGATACCCACTCCACCATCCCATCTCCCTCCTGGGGCCCGTCCCTTCCGGACACTTTCCCTTCCTGCAGGGCCCTTTGGGGACGTGGTCCAGCTTGGACGTGCTGTGGTGGCTCACGGATCCCATGGGAATGCTGCTGCTCCGGGGTTATCCCACCCGTTTGTGCCCCTTTTGTAACCTCGGGGTGTTTTCCTCTCTCTCTCTGTTCCACCCCAGGGGATGTGATACCTGCATGCCAAGGGCATCCTCCACAAGGACCTCAAGTCCAAGAATGTCTTCTACGACAACGGGAAGGTGGTGATCACCGACTTTGGGCTCTTCAGCATCTCTGGGGTTCTCCAAGCGGGCAGGTAGGAGGACAGGGACACACTGGAGCTCCTCCCTGTGCCCTAAAGCTGGGAACGATCCCAAAAAATCCCTCTCCAAGTGCTTCTTTGTGTCCCCAGCCTCGGCAGACAGGAGCTCAAGAGGCTTTTGAGTGTTGTGGGGCTGCTCTGTTTGAAGGGAGTTGGTTTTGATCCGTAGGAAGGAGCACGATGCCGTGTGTGAACCTCTGGAATTTTGACTCAGAGAGGCAGATTGTGCCCCTTAGACCAACCCCTTCCCATGGGATGCATCATTTCCATGGCCAAACCACCCTGCAGCCAGCCAGGAGATGCTCCTGTGGCAGCAGGGCTGCTTCATTCCCTGGCTTTTCCCTTTCCATCGTTATAATTCCCTGACATCTGCTTCATGCCCTGCCTGGATTGAGTGATGCCATCCCTGTGCTCTCCCCACTCCAGTGACATTTTGGGAATCACAGACATCTGGCCATGGTGTCTGTGCTGGGCATGGAGCAAGGCATGGAAAATGAGAGCCAAGTTTGGGACTTTCACAGCATTGTGACATTTTGTGGCCTCGGAGGGTTTAAATCTGAAGGTTTTGGTAAATGTTCATTATTAAATTTCTTGTCCCGATGTTTTGGGAGATTTTCCAGCTGTAGGAATGGCAGGGAAAAGAGTTCCAGCAGCTGTGGAAAGGAGAAAAAGCAAAGCTGGGGTGGAAAAAGGAAACAGAAGCAGGGAAGGAAGAACAGAGATTATATTCTCCAATTTTTTTTCAAGTGGGGAACAGGAGCATTGCTGACTTTTCCCACCTTGCCCACTAAATCCTTTGTGTTGGATTTCCCTCTAAACCCTTTGTGGTGGGAGCAGCACAGCCCAAGTGTGGGCAGTTTTCTCCTGGTCCTTCCATCTCCGTGGCAAAGATGCTCAGGAGATAAAAAGCACTTTGGAAATGATGGATTTCTTTCCCCAATTTCCCAGTGATGATTTCAAAGGATTAAAGGAAATGGCAGCGGCCACCTCTCTCCATCCCACACCAGATTTTCCCAGATTTTCCACTCTGCCTGGATGAATATCAATGGATTTCTGCACAAACTTGGCCAAAAACTTTGGAAAGGCAGGAAATCTGGATCTCCCGCTGTGGCAAAGTGGGATTTGCCTCTGCTTTGGCAGCTGGGCAGGGGGTTTGGGATTCAGGGCCTGTCAGGAGGAAGGGACAGCTCATTCCGGCAGGGAATGAGGATTTGGGCAAAACCTCCCAAGCTTTGCCAGGAATCTTTGCTGTGAAGGTCGGGGATGCTCCAGAGATGGAATGAGAAACGGGGGAATGGGGGTTCTGAGGAGGCGGCCGATCTGTGGCCACCTCTGCCCAAGATTGGGATGTCCCTTGTGGGGTTAGAATCCAGGAGATGACTCAGGAGAGGAAGGATGGCCAGGAGGGCAAGGCTGGAGAGAAATGAGCAGGGGTTTGCTGGAAAAATTGGGAAAATGAGAAAATTTGTGCCCTGGGCTGCTGGTAGCAGATGTTTTCTGCTGCAGGAGAGCTGAGAGGAGAGCAGGGATCCACAGCCACCATGAATTTTGGAACAGGAAGTGTCTGCAGGCCTGATCTCCCCTTTTCAGGGTGGGTTTTTGCTGCTTTTGGTGTCTCTCAGATGAAGACAGGAGATAAATCCCAATTTTGGGTCCTTAGTGCCTTGGAAAAACATCTGTTGAGAAGGAAGCACGTTTTTGGAGGTCAGGTTAAGGATAGTTTCATTTCTTCAGCTGGTTTTGCAGGGGTTAAAACACTTCCTGCAGAGATTTGGTGACTTGGAGTCTTCATTCTGCTGAAATCAGATTTATTCCTCCTTTATTTAAATGTTCTTGGGCTCGGTGGGGCTGCTCTGGCATTAGGAGGAGCACGAGGTGGGTCTTGAGGAGTCTGAGGAGCTCTTCTTCTCCTGCTTTTGCCCTGGGGGTGGCTTGGAAGATGCTCAGCTGGGTGTGGCTGTGACGTCAGGTAAACTTTGGTCACAAACCCTCCAACTGCTGTAACTGAGCCACTTCTGGGTCCCCATTACAGCCCAGCCCTCCTCGCTGGGAGCTCCTGACCCACAGAAGCTTTGCCAGGGATGGGCTGTGCCTCCCAATCCAGCCCCTGGAGCATCCTGAGGCTGCTTGTGGAATGTCATAGAGCAGAAATAAAAGCAGAATGAAAACCCCAGAGCAAACCCGGCCTTGCTGAGGGTGCTGGGGCAGATCCAAGTGCTGCCCACTGCATCCCGAGAAGGAGAGGCAGGCACAGGGAAGGACCAGCCAGCCCAAGCCTTCTTAATTGCCCAGGTGCTTAATGCTGGTTTGTAATGAAGAGCGGGAGGGTGGAGGAGGTGCTGGGCAGTGAAAGGCTCCCCTGGGTGCCCAAGTGCTTTTCCCGTGGCTCCGGAGGCTCCGAGCCACACCGGAGCCGCTGATTGCGGTGGAGACTCCAGGGCGTGGATGGAGAGCAGCCAGGGACACCCCAGAGGGGACAAGGAGGCTTCATCAGCCATTCCCTGGCGTGGCAGTGTCCCTCCATAGGGAGGGGACCCTCTGGGCACGGCCAGACCTGTCACTGGAGCGGGGATGGCTTTGCAGGCGGGAGGATCTGGATTGTGCCGGATTTGGGATTATGAGCCAGCTTTGGGGTGGAGCCCCATCCCTGGATGGTTTCCCGTGGGATTTTGGCCCCAGGCTGGCATTCAGGAGGACAGACGACCCCACAGCCATCCCTTAGCCCTGTTCATGCCCATCTTTGGGAGGGTTCCAAGCACAAACAGGGAGAAATTCCTTCTCCAGCCCAAGGTGACGTGGGGCAGGTTTGTTCCCTCCTGCTGCTGAACCTGGGCTCAGACACACGATGGAGCTGCCTCAGGTGTCACCACTGATGATCCAGGGATTCTGAAGCCAGCAGTGTATCCCAGGTGCCTGCTGGAGGATGTAAAGGATGGAGAAGTCACCAATGTCATCTTCAGCCATTGGCCAAAGGATTCCAATGGATTTATCCTGAGCAGAGGGAGCTGGGGAGGTGGAGGAAGGACAGATGAGGTGAAATGAGGGGTTGTTGTAAAGCCAGGCTGCTCCCATGAAGAGATGCCATGAGGAGATGCCATTGAAGGCCCAGACTTGGAGGGGCTGTTTTGGGGCCAAACACCAGAAAACACCAATTCCCAGGCTGGTACTTTAGGATGGGTTTGCTCGGAAGTGGCACTTTGGGTCCCCAGTGCAACTTCCTGCTCCAACAACAGTGGAGCCCCTGGGGGAATTCATCCCCGCTTTACCCCTGGATCCTTTAAGGGGTTTTGGTGCAAAGGGCACAGCAGGAGCCCCTGCAGACCCCAAATCCTCATCACCAGCCTGGAAGAGCCGAAGTTCCCCTAAAGCCCCATCCTGTGCCCCAGTTTTCTCCTGCTGCCTGGCAGGGACATTTCTCAGAGCAGGGTTAAATCCTGACTTTGCAAGGATGATGTGGGAAAAGCCAGACTTAAAAACCTTGGGAAGAGAGTGGGCAGCTGGGGATGTGCTGTGCTCCAGGGCACCCACAGCTCCAGCCCCATTCCCAGCAGAAGCCACCATCCTGTGCCCCAGGTTTGTTCTGCTGCCTGGACAGGCACAACTGTGCCAGCATTCCCAGAGCGGGGTTAAAACCTGACTTTGCAAGGATGACATGGGGAAAACCAGGCTTAAAAACCTTGGGCAGCTGGGGGCTGCTCGCTGGGGACGTGGAGATGCTCTGCTCCAGGGCACCCACAGCTCCAGCTCCATGTCCCTGCAGGAACCACCATCCAGTTTTGTCCTGCTGCCCGGCAGGGACATTTCCCAGAGCAGGGTTAAAACCTGACTTTGCAAGGATGATGTGGGGCAAACCAGGCTTAAAAACCTTGGGAAGAGGGTGGGCAGCCGGGGCTGTGAGGGCGCTGTGCCCGGGGCAGCCACGGCTCCGTGTCCCGGCAGGAGGGAGAACAAGCTGCGCATCCAGAACGGCTGGCTGTGCCACTTGGCCCCCGAGATCATCCGGCAGCTCTCTCCCGACACCGAGGAGGACAAGCTGCCCTTCTCCAAGCACTCGGATGTCTTTGCACTGGGGTGAGTCCCTGGACAGGGATCTGGAGTGGTTGGGTCGGGTGGGAGCTGCTCTGGGCTCAGGAGGGGATGAGGACGCTCTTGGCTTGTCCCAAATCCAAGGGGACACTGTTGGATGGAATTCCCATTGGTGGGTGGGGAGAACCCTCCTTCTTCGAGAAATTCTGAGTGAAACCATCCCTAAATCACCAAATCCTCCTGTTTTAGACCAGGCTGGCTCTGGGTAATGACATCCAATGTATCCAGAGGAGGCCAGCTGGGGATGCAGGGGCTGGGTGGGAACACAGGTGTGGGAGCCCCTGGACAGTGCAATTCTCCCCAAATTGCCAAATCCTCCTGTTCTGCACCAGAGTGGTGCCTGGCAATGGGATCCAGAGTGCCCTGGGAATGCCAGCCTGGCATCATCTCTGCCCTGCTCCCTCCTGGGGCAGGTGCCAATGAGAAGGCGCTTGGGTGATGGATGGAGATGTCAGAGGTTGGGGACACAGCTCTGGGAGCCCCTGGACACCCCAATTCTCTCTAAATTACCCAATCTTCCTATTTTGGCCACGGATCAGGGTGGCTCCAGGCAATGGGATCCAGAACATCCTGGGAATGCCAGCCTGGCATCATCTCTCCACTGCATCCTCCTGGGATGGGGTGGGAACTGATGAGAAGGTGCTTGGATGATGGATGGGAATGCCAAAAGTTGGGGACACAGCTCTGGAGCCCCTGGACACCCCAATGTCCCCCTCCAGCCAGAAGGCTGATGGTGGTGCCAGCTCTATGAGCAGTTGCCAAAAGCCAAGAAAATAAGAATTCCTAAGTTTTCCTCAGCAAACCAGTTCATTCCTGCTGCCCTTTTTCTGCCCACAGACCTCCCTGAGGGCACGAGCCCAATTCCACCCCGCTAAACCTTTCCCAAAACCTTTCCTCTTTACCCAGAGGATTAATTTTCTCATGGATACCTCGAAGGCTGTGGGATTAGGGAGCGTGGGCCCGCTATCCGAGGCAATATTCCCATCAAACCCGCAGTAATTACAGCTGGAAGGGTCTGGCTCTTTTATTTTCTGCCCTCCCTGAGGTACAACTTCAGCAGAGAAATAAAGAGGTAATTAAAGGATCGTATCCAACTAAGTGAGAGTGGGTGGGGAGACGTAATTTTCCCTTTTTTTCCTCAGTTGTAAGTTCTGCCCTTATGGAAAGCGTGATTTTCCTGAAAAGATGAAAAGGTTTCCCCACGTTTTCCCTCTTTCTTGTTTCTGCTGCCCTCCATCAAGCCCGGGAGGCTCAGGGATGGTCCAGAGGGGTCGATTCCCTCCAGGGATTTGGGGATCAGGGACAGCAAGACAAAAAGAGTTTTTAAAGATGACAAAAACTCCCAGTGAGAAACTGAATTAATGCCTTAGATGTGTTAAATCCAATCTGAGGGTGCTTGAATGCTCCTCCTGAGGATTTTGTCCTGTGCCCACAGGATCTCTGAGCCCCCCATTCCTCTACATGCACATAATTCTCCCATTATTCAAATTTTTTTTGAGATTTCCAGCCAAACTGTGCAAAATCAGAAGAATTCCAATTTCTAGAATCAGGGAGCTTCCAGTTCCTCTGCACCCACATAATTCTCCCATTATTCAATTTTTTTTGAGATTTCCAGCCAAACTGTGCAAAATCAGAAGAATTCCAATTTCTAGAATCAGGGAGCTTCCCAAACTGAGAGGAATCTTTCATTTATCAGACAGATTTTTCCATCCTGGTGTCATTTTAACTCTGGGTTTTGATACTTTTAGTGGTCACAAGGGCATCCCTGGGGGGGAAAAGCAGGTCCAGGGAATTTGCCTTGGACAATGGGGCTGGCATTGAGGGAATCCAGGCCCATCCAGGCTCCGGGTGCCAGAAAATGATGATGCAAAACTTCCAGGCAGTAGCGGGGGCGGAAAACCACAGGGGAGCCCACCGGTGATGCCCTTGTTTTGGGATATTCCCTTGGATTTGGGATTCCTCACGGAAAAGAGGGCTTGGCTCAGCAACGAGAGCAGGAGCAGATGGCCGGGGCTTCACGTGGCCATCACCTGGTGAGGACACCTGGGATGGGTCGTGGCACGGCTTGGATGGATTTTTGGAGCTCGGAGAACTTTTTGGAGGAGAAAAAGGGAAAAGCTGGAGTGAAAGTGAATTCTTGGGCTCGTCCCTTGCCGGAGTTCTGCTGGAGAGGCAGCTGCGTCCCCACCATCCTCTCTTCAGCTGCTCCATGGCAGTGCTGCTGTATCCAGGTGGGACAATCCCACTTGATGGCACAGGGTGGCTCTGCCTGGGCCTCCACCAGCCTCTGTCCTCCTTCCCACGGGCTGGGATCTGCCCTGGTGGGCATCAGGGCTCGCTCCAGGAAAATGGGAGAGGTGACACCTCTGTACCGAGGGCTGAGCTCCTCTGGTGTCCCCTGGGATGAAGCCTCTCCTGGATGGTTCTGGAGCAGGGAGAGACCTTGGATGTGGGAGCAGTGGCCTGACACCTCCCCATCCCGAATCCCTGCTGGCTGCTCCATCTCTGATTCCCCGTGTGTCCCAACAGCACCATCTGGTACGAGCTGCACGCGCGGGAATGGCCCTTCAAGACGCAGCCAGCGGAGGCAATAATCTGGCAGGTGGGAAGAGGGATGAAGCCCAACCTCAGCCAGATCGGGATGGGCAAGGAGATCTCGGTAGGTGCCCTGGGGCCCTGCGGGGGTGTGCATGGACTGGGGCGTGGCTGGTGGGGCCCTTGGAAAAACCCTCTGGATCTGCTGATCTCATCCAGCCGGGCTTGGGCCTGCTGCTGGGCTCAGCTCGAACGTTCCCTTTGCTCCAGCCCTTCCCAAGGATGTGGGGATGGAGATGGGTGCTCGTGGGATGGACTCCCCCCCTTCATCCCAGCCTTTCGTGAGGATGTGGGGATGCAAGGGGGACCCTCATGGGTTGGGCACATTCCCTCCATCCCAGCCCTTCCCAAGAATCCAGTGATAGAGATGGGTCCTTATGGGATGGAGACATCCCTTCCATTCCAGTCCTTCATGAGAATTCAGTGATGGAAATGGCTCCTCATGGGATGGATTCATTCCCTCCTCTCAACCCTTCAAAGGAATCCAGTGCTGGAGATGGCTCCTCACGGGCTGGGCACATCCCCCCCATCCCAGCCTTTCCCAAAAATCCAGTAGTGGAGATGGGTCCCCATGAGATGGACACATCCCTTCCATCCCAATCCTTAACAAGAATCCAGTGGTGGAGTCAGATCCTCATGGGATGGACTCATCTCCTCCATCCCAGCCCTTCATGAGAATTCAGTGATGGAAATGGGATCCTCATGGGATGGATGTGTCCCCTCCATCCCAGCCCTTCCCAAGGATGTGGTGATGGAGATGGATCCTCATAATGGGATGGACACCCCCCCTTCATCCCAGCCTTTCATGAGGATGTGGGGATGCAAGTGGGACCCTCATGGGTTGGGCACATTCCCTCCATCCCAGCCCTTCCCAAGAACCCAGTGATGGAGATGGGTTCTCATGGGATGGAGACATCCCTTCCATTCCAGTCCTTCATGAGAATTCAGTGATGGAAATGGCTCCTCATGGGATGGATTCATTCCCTCCTCTCAACCCTTCAAAGGAATCCAGTGATGGAGATGGCTCCTCACGGGCTGGGCACATCCCCCCCATCCCAGCCTTTCCCAAAAATCCAGTGGTGGAGATGGGTCCTCATGAGATGGACACGTCCCTTCCATCCCAATCCTTAACAAGAATCCAGTGGTGGAGTCAGATCCTCATGGGATGGACTCATCTCCTCCATCCCAGCCCTTCATGAGAATTCAGTGATGGAAATGGGATCCTCATGGGATGGATGTGTCCCCTCCATCCCAGCCCTTCCCAAGGATGTGGTGATGGAGATGGATCCTCATAAGATAGATACATTCCCTCATCTCAACCCTTCACAAGGATCCAGTAATGGAGATGGCTCCTCATGGGATGGACACATCCCTTCCATCCTAGTCCTTGCTGAGAATCCAGTGGTGGAGATGGATCCTCATGGGATGGACACATCCCTTCCGTCCCAATCCTTAACAAGGATCCAGTGGTGGAGATGGCTCCTCATGGGATGGCTATGTCCCCTCCATCCCAGCCCTTCCCCAGGATGTGGTGATGGAGACAGGTCCTTTGGGGTGAGGGTTGTGGTGGGAGGGGGACTGGCTCAATTCCCCCTGGAACTGAGAGGGCCTGGCTGGGTTTCCTGACGGGCTCTCCGTGTGGCTCCAGGACATCCTCCTGTTCTGCTGGGCCTACGAGCAGGAGGAGAGGCCCACCTTCACCAAGCTCATGGACATGCTGGAGAAACTGCCAAAGCGCAACCGCCGCCTTTCCCACCCGGGGCACTTCTGGAAGTCGGCAGAGTAAGTCCCCATCCCTGCCCAGATTCCATGGACTGGGGGAATTCCCTGCCAGGGACCCTTCCCAGACCCTCAGCCACGGCAGCTCCAGCCTGATCCCTTCCTCTGCCATGGCCAGATCCTGCTGTGTTCCGTAGCTTTGGCTTAGTCACATCCCTGTGCTCCAGGAAACGGCGGCCGTGGGTCCCCAGTTGGGATTTCGGAATCCGCCCTATTGGGAACAGCAGGCAAAACGCAGAGCAATCACTTAGAAACTCATTTTCCTTCCTGGAATTTGTCATGTTATGACAAACAGAAGCAAAATCTCGCCCGTGCGGGGGTGGCATTCACGGGGGGGATTTTTCCTGCTCCCAGCGTGCATCCCCGGAGGCTGGAAATGGGAATGGATGGGGGGAAGGAGATGTCAGCTCAGGGAGAGAAGTGAGAACATTTTGGGGGCTTCAGGGATCACTCTTGGTGGGAGATGCTGATTTCTCCTGCTGCTGACAACAAACTGCCCTTCTTCCTTCTCCGGGCGGCCCCAAGAGCGTCAGGAATGTCCCTGTGCCACTCCCTGTCCCTGGGGGGCTGCGGGGAACCCGCAAAGCCCGCGGTCAGGTGGCCCCCAAAGCACCCGGAACGGGAGATGTTAATCAGGAGCGGAGTTAATTCCCGCTCCAGGGCGGCTCCGGCGGCCGGGCAGGGAATGCTGGAGGATGCCGGGCCCGAGGCAGCCGCGGAATCGCTCCGCTGGCTTTGGGAATGTTTTTTCAGTCGCTGAGCCGCGCTCTGCCTGCCCTGGGCTGGGGCTGCCCCGCAGCTCCCTGTTAATTACCGGCCCAGTCTTTTGCTAATCAGGATGCTCCGGCTCAGCTTTCCACGGGAGCTGATTCCTTCCACAGGGACCCGGCTCTGGCTGTTGTTCCTGTTAGGTCCTGGAAGGTTCCTGTTAGGTCCTGGAAGGTCCAGGAATCCCGGCTGTGCGCAGGGATGAGCTGGCTGTAGTACCCCCAGGCTCTGCCATCCCTGCATCCAGGGGATCGGGGCACAAACCCCTGGATGCACAGGGATGGGAGTGGTGCCCAAGGAGCCCTTTCCCCTCTGGCTGATGCTCCAGGAGCCGGGCAGGGACGGCAGGGAGGTGCAGGAGTTCAGGGCTTCCCCCGGTGCCGCTGCTTTTGGGAGCAGCTCCGTGGCAAAGCTGTTCCAGGAGGGTTTTTTCCCAAAGATTTTCCCCTCAAATCCCCGCGCTCCCACGGAGGAGGCGCCCAGGGCTCACTCTGCTCCTTGTGTCCCCTCCAGGCTGTGACGGGAGGAGTTATGGGACGGTGCCTTCCTCCCCCAGCGGGTCTCCTCTTCCTCTCCGCTTCCCACCCTGCGCTACGGAGGAGCAGCGGGGCCGACGGCGGGCCGGGACCGGGATCTTCCCCCGCGGCGTTTCACATCCCGGGAATGCCGTGGGCGCGGGCGGGAGGAGCCGGAGCAGCCCCGGCTGCGGTGGGATGGGGACAGCGCGGGGCGCTCAGGCGGTGGCTCTGGGGACAGAACCCCCAGCAGGGGTGACCCACAGGACAATGACTTCAGTTTATCCCCAGGGCTCCTCTGAGCCCCATCCAGTGCTCACGACGATGCTCGGCTGGGGAGGGCTTGTTCTCGGCTCTCCGTGGGTTTCTTTAATTCCCTTTATTTATTTCTTCGCGGTTTTGTCATGAAAAAAGGGGGAACGTCGCTGATTCATGAGTTTATCCCCGGATCCTGCGGGGCCAGGGAGTGCCACTGCCATTAGCTGCCCCCCGCGGGGAAATGCATCTGTCCCGCTGCCCCCGGCCCCGCAGCCCCTTCGTGGGCAGCGCTGACCTTTCACAAGTGGCTTCTCTCCCTGCCAGCCGCGGCCACTTCGGTGTCCCCCCGCGGGGACGTCTCGGCATTCCCGTTAATCTGTCCGCTGTTCCCGGGGTGTGCCTCATCAGCCAGCGCTGCCCCTCGCTCTCCATCCCTGCCCTGCTCCTGGCTTTGCTCCTGGCTCCCCGAACCCCGGCTTTGGGGCTGCTCTGGGGCTGGGCACAGCAGCACAGCTGGATTGGGATCCAGCCCCCCCTCCTGTGGCCTTCCCGGCTCATTCCTGCAGCTGGGAATGCAGGCAGGCTCTGGTTGTACAGAGCAGCTCCCAGCCCCGCTCCGGGACATCTCAGCCGTGCCCAGGACCATTTCCCCCACGGGCTCATCTCCCATCAGCCAAATCCCAGAGTTTCCCCCAAAAATTCTCTCTGGGAGCAGCTGTTGCCACCTGAATTCCACGTGCTGGTGTTTCCCTCTCCCCTCCCAGCTCGGGTGGGCCCTCCAGCCCCTCGGATGAGCTGTAAGACGAGAGCAAATTGCATTCCCCGGCTCTCATGGAGCATAATTGCTTGACAGGAACCATCCCGGATAATTCAATTGTAGTCTCAGTTCGCTTTAATTTGGAGCCGTGACGAGGCTTTGCAAACCCAGCCAGCCCTGGTTTGTCTGGCTGCTGCTCCAGCTCCTCCTCGCCGGTGTTGGGAGTGCTTTAGCATAAGTAAATGAAGATTAGAAACTTAATTGCAGCTGGGATGAGATGGGATTTTAATTGTGGGTGTATTAAAATCCCCATGCGTGCACGTGTGAAAATTCCAAGGTGGGCAGGAGCAGGGAGGGGTGGATCCAGCCCCCAAAAGGATCTGGAGGAGTCTCCTGATGATGTTTTTGGGATGGGGCAGGATGGCTTTTGGGGCTGAGGCTGGGTGGGATGGGCAGGCTGAGCCCTCGTTTGGGTTAATTGCTCCCTGCCCCAGCAGGAAATTGGGGATCCCTGACTTAGGGCTCATCCCACCTTCTCATTCCAGATCTTCCTGCCTTTCACCCCATCCTGCAGCACCCATGGCCTGGGCTGTCCCTGTCCCCCCAGCTGTCCCTGTCCCCCCAGCTGTCCCTGTTCCCCACAGCTGTCCCTGTCCCCCCAGCTGTCCCTGTTCCCCACAGCTGTCCCTGTCCCCCCAGCTGTCCCTGTGCACACACGTGCCACAAACCTTGCACTAAACCCTCGGATTCTCTCTGAGCTCCCACCAATGCCTTCACCTCTGCTGCTCCCAGGCTCTGGGGGAGGCACAAAATCCACTCCCCAGAGGTTTTGGCTGCTGGGGGGGCACGGGGAGGTGTCACCAGTCCCCAAAC